GGTTGTTGATGACTCTTCCACGAATCCTGATGCCACATTTGTCTTCGTATAGCCCAGCGTCTCAGATGGCCTATTCTGCATACAGATTGAAAAGGTGTGGAGACGGAATACATCCCTGACAAACCCCCTTCCTGATTTTGAACCATGTAGTGTCTTCTTGCTCTGTTCTGACAACTGCTTCTTGGTCCAAGTATAAGTTTTGCATTAGCACAATCAAATATTCTGGGATTCCCATTCTTCTTAGAGTCAGCCACAGCTTATTGTGATAGTGATAGCTATTTCTATTTTTTTGGTATTGTGGTTAGTTCATCAACTGTTAACAATTATAATATTAGCCAGAGAAAGTAATTTTACATCTATGTAGAGCTACATAGAGGAACAAATAAATCCATAAAAGAATAAGTTTGTTCTTACTAGAACTTGGAGACAATTAAAGACTCATAAATGGAATGCATAAATATTGACATAGTAGGCATTGGTGAGATGAGATGGACTGGCATGGGGCATTTTGAATCGGATGATCATATGATATATTACTCTGGAGATGAAAAGGTGAGAAAAAATGGAGTTGCTTTCATAGTTAAAAAAGTCATTGCTAGATCCATCTTTAAGTACAATATTGTGAGTGACAGGATACTATCCATATGCATACAAGGAGGTCCAATGAATACCACTATCATTCAGATATATGCACCAACAACCAGAGCCAAAGAAGAGAATATAGAAGATTTTTACGAACTTTTACAATCGGAGATCGATCGAACATGCAATCAAGATGCATTGATACTAATGGGTAACTGGAATGTAAAATTTGGGAACAGAGAAGAAGATTCAGTAGTTGGAAAACATGGACTCGGTGACAGAAATGGAGCTGGAAAGAGAATGATTGCATTTTTCACAATCAATGACTGATTCATAGCAAATACGTTTTTTAAGAGACATAAACGCAGGTTATATACCTGGATTTCACCTGATGGTATGCATAGGAATCAGATGGATTACATCTGTGGAAAGAACCACTGGAGAAGCTCAATATTAGCTGTGAAAACTAGGCCAGGAGTTGATTGTGGAACAGATCACAAACTACTCATATGCAAGTTCAAGCTGAAGTTGAGGAAAATGAAACCAAATCCAAGGCAACCAAAATATGACTTTGAGTCTATCCCACCTGAATTTCAGAACCATCTCAGGAACAGGTTTGAGGCCTTGAACACTGAAGACCTGACGAGTTGTGGGAGGATATCAAGGGTATCATCCAGGAAGAGTGCAAACGGTCATTGCAAAGACAGAAGAGGAAGCGAAGACCAAAATGGATGTCAGAAAAGTAGAGCGTGGAGAAGCCAAAGCACAAGGAAGAATTGAAGCTACTAAAGAGTTGAATAGAAGATTTCAAAAGGCAGCACGTGATGACAAAGTAAAATATTACAATGAAATGTGCAAGGAGTTGGGTTCAGAAAATCAAAAGGGCTGAACTCGCTCAGCATTTCTTAAGCTCAAGGAACGGAAGAACAAATTCAAACCTTGAGTTGCTGTAATCAAGGATGCTTTAGACAGAATATTACATGATCCAGGAAGTATTAAAAGAAGATGGAAAGAATATACTGAATTACTGTATTGGAAGGAATTGGCAGACACAGAAGAATTTCATGAAACAACATATGAGCAAGAGCCTATGGTGATGAAAGAAGAAGTTCAGGCTGCTTTGAAGGAAAGGGCAAAAAATAAGGCCCCAGGAATAGATGGTATACCAATTGACATATTTCAGCTAACAGATGCTGCCCTGGACATGCTCACCAAGTTGTGCCAAGAAATCTGGAGAACAACCACTTGGCCGACTGACTGGAAGAGATCTATATTTGTTCCCATCCCAAAGAGGAGTGACCCAATAGAGTGTGGAAACTATAGAACAATCTCATTGATTTCACATGCAAGCAAGATTCTACTGAAGATTATCCAAGGACGACTGGAATAGCACATCAGCAGAGAACTGCCAGAGGTCCAGGCTGGGTTTAGAAGGGGTCGTGGTACTAGGGATATTGTAGCTGATGTCAGATGGATCTTAGCTGAAAGCAGGTCATACCAGAGGAATGTCTATCTGTGTTTCAGTGACTATGCAAGGATTTGACTGTGCGGATCATAACAAACTGTGGCTGACTCTGAGAAGAATGGGAATCCCAGAACACCTATACTTGGGCCAGGAGGCAGTCGTCAGAATAGAGCATGAGAACACTGCATGGTTCAAATTTGGGACGGGCGTACGCCAGGGATGCGTCTTATCTCCATACCTTTTCAACCTGTATGCAGAACAGATCATCCGGGAGGCTGGGCTGTATGAGAAGAAATGTGGGGTCAAGATTGGTGGATGATCTATCAACAATCTGCGTTATGCAGATGACACAGCCCTGCTTGCTGAAACTCAGGAGGACCTGAAGCACCTGCTGCAGAGGGTCAAGGACTGTAGCCTCCAATATGGATTGGGGCTCATTGTCAAGACGACAAAGATTCTCACCACTGGGCCAATTGGAAGCATTAGGATGGATGGTGAAGAGATTGAGATTGTTCACAGCTTTAGTTTGCTTGGCTCCACAGTCAACACTCTTGGCACCAGTAGCCAGGAAATTAAAAGGTGCATTGCCATGGAAAAGTCTGCTGTTAGGAACCTTTCCAAAGTACTGAAGATCAATGGTATCTCTTTGGAGACCAAGGTGTGTCTGATACAGACCATCATCTTTGCAATCACTTGTTATGCATCAGAGAGTTGGACAATGACCAAGGAGGACAGAAGGAGAATTGATGCCTTTGAGTTGTGGTGCTGGACTGCTAGGAAAACAAATAGATTCATCTTGGAAAGGGTTAAACCTGGTGGCTCTTTGGCGGCAAGAATTCTGAGGCTCCGTCTAACATACTTTGGACATACTCTTGTTTCTCTTCAGATCGAATAAATCTTTCGCCTTTTACTAAAAAAAAAAAAAAAAAAAAAGAAGAAGAAGAAACCGGTCCTTGGAGAAGGACATCATGCTGGGGAGGGTGGAGGGACAGCGCAGGAGGGGAAGGCTCTCTATGAGGTGGATTGATTTGGTGACTGGGGTTATTGGGATGGGAGTGTCAGAGACAGTGCGATTGGCACAAGACAGAGCAGAGTTTAGGGCTGTTTTACATAGGGTCGCTATGAGTCACAAGCAACTCGACGGCACATAACAACAACGTTTTCATTCTGCTGGAGTCAGAGCCTAAGGGTTACTCTATGATCACTGGCAAGAAGTAATGTTATAAAGACAATTTGATGCCTATGAAGATTAAAAGGAAAACATCTAGACTTCTTAGGTAGACAAAAATACACAGGAGAAATCTGGGAGTCAATACGTGGTCAAATGCTGCCTTGGAGGTCCATCCAGAGGTGCTTCAGAAGAAAGGCCTCAAAAGGCCAATAATGTCCTGAGAATTTTGCCATTTAAAACTCCCTGGATCAAGGTTCTCCTCTGATGCTCCTGGGGTCTGAAGAATGTCACAGCTATCCCAAGGCCTTACCCCCAGGCAGACTATTCTTTGTAAAAATCTGTGATTTACATGTCCTGAAAAGGCCTTGGGTGTGATCACACAATGACAGGACCCCTGCGACTGAATTTCAAAGCAAACTAACACCCTCTCTAAGTCTTCCTGAGAGCCCCTATTAAAGGAAACTGTTTTTCTCCTGCACGGCCACTCTGATCCTCTCTGTAAGCTGTCATCAGGAGTCCTTTTCTCCTCTTCCTACTTGGGACCAGATTGTCTCTTTTTTCCTCTCTCTCTCTCATCCCTTTTTTCCTATCTAACAAGATCATCTTAGGTCTGCATTCACTTGAAAGCAACTAACTTGGTTGTAAGAAATTGGTGGAACACAAACTAATCACAAACTGACAAACGACTAAAGAGATTGAACTTGGACTTTTTCATAAATGGTTCGAAGGAGTAAACAAAATTGATTTAACTTTTAATCATGATAATTAAAATGACTAAATTTTTTTTAAGTTTCAATGAATTTAAAATTTTATTTGGATACTCTGTACGTCTAAAACATTTAGAGACATTTATGTGCCGAGATTTTGCATTAATAGAAAAGCTTGTGCGTGTATGTTGTACGCCTGAGATGGTAGCATTGTGTGTTTTGATAACAATGGCATGGTTGAACACTGGCTAGGAACACCGAGCGGAAGAACTTTCCAACCGGCGACCGAAATCTTGCGGGTTAAAGAATCTGAATTCTGTAAGATCAGAGAAGAGAGTGGTGTGACCGATAACATACTTGTTGATGAATTGAAAGATTAGAAGGGTGTGCGCGTGTTTGCATGTTGGGGCCAGGAACTGGTAACAGGGTCCCCTTTCAAACTTTCCCTGATTTAGAGTCAGTGCAACTAACGCGAAATTTCAGCTCCCAGAATTATCTCAAGATATTACCAAAATGATCTCTAGTTATTTCCTAAATTATCACAAGACTGCCTCACTATGAACTCTGAGTGTGCGATACGATATTTTGGGGTCATAAAAGAGGTCTACATGACAACACATTATTTTTCCTTTCTCTTCCTTTGTGTGTACTTTCTAAAGCGCGAAAACTTTTGGACGAGTGGAGTGTGCCCCTCCCTCTCTTTCAGGCTTCGCTTCTCCATAGGGCAGGCACATCCCTCTTAAGCTCACTCTGGATCTTAAGATTCCCTTTCATATCGACCCTACGCAAGCCAGTTTTTGCGGGCATGTTTGGGACAAGATGCAAAGCGGCCGTCTGCCTAGCGACCACAACAAGAGTTGTGCAGAACTAGAACTAGATAAAGTCACAATAACGCTCGCCACGAGGTTCCCCGAGCACCTTCCAGCCACCTGAATCAAAGCCGAGTCCTCCACTATCCCAGCATTCCCTGCGCTCCTACCATCGAGAGCAGCTTCCGGAAGCGCTGGGTTAGCTGGGTGACGAAGGAGCGGGCCCTGGCCGCTCTGTCTCACTCCCTCGCGCTCTCTCGGGCAACATGGCGGGCGTGGCGGAGGCAGCGACCTCCGGGAGCCACCTGAATGGCGACTTGGACCCAGACGACAGGGAAGAGGGAGCTGCCTCTACGAATGAGGAGGCGGCCAAGAAAAAAAGACGGAAGAAGAAGAAGAGTAAAGCAGGTAAAGAGTTTAATGTGTTCCCGGTCCCTGCCGTGGATGGCCGAATAACTCAGGCCCGGTACGGTACGAGTGGCAGGAACCGGGGACCCGAGCCTTGGGGTGGACTCATTTCTAAGTGTGCGGTGGGGGCACAGCACGAGCTACCGATTTTTAATCACTTGTACAACAACAACAAAAGGCATCTTGTCTGGTGGGACTAAAGATCTGTTTAGGGGCGTTGAAACGGGAGAAAAGCGTGCTTTAGCTTCCCATGTGGTGGCTCTTGGGTCGCTGGGCCCGAGCTCCTATGTGACCGGGACTCAGCCCCCGCACAGATCCCGGGAGGAACTTGCAAGTGTGCACAGGACCTCACTTCTGCCCTCTTTTACGCGATTTGGCAGGCTACTAAAAACATCCAGTTCTCACCGGTGCTGCCGCCTCTTTGCTGGACATCCTGCAGTGTGTGTGTGCGCGTCGAGGTTGGGGGTGGAGTGGACCAGTCTTACTGCCTGCCTTGACTGTAACCTCTCAACCCCTCCGGCCGCTTTGGGATTTTTCTTGCTGGCTACACTTCTTGGAGTGTGTGCATGCGCGTCCTTGTCACGGAGTAATTGTCGATTGTGTCGTGGTGGTAACGCGAGTTTCACCTGGCTGATCCCACGGCATAGTCAAGCCTTTGCTTTTTAGGCCTGAATTATGATGCTCCTTGTTCATGAAAGGGAACTGTTCTGCTGCGTCTCAGAATGGAACGTCTGAGGTCTGTAACTTCTAAATCTACTAGTAAGGCACGGAAAATAGAGTTGAAAGTCTACAGTTGAGCTAGAAACTTATTATTAAATATCTTAATAAGTCAGGCCTTGTACAAGGGTTTTTTTAAGAAAAAATAAACTTGTATTGATTTAATTAATATGAATCAAGGAAAGGCGAGAAATCTGAAGCGATGAATGTGCAGTTAAGAGGTACTGGGAGGGTTAATCTACAAATTACAGAGATATTAGATGGTTGGCTTCTAGTAGTCTGTATTGCATCAGGGTGGGTGGGAGTGGAGAATGGACGGTGTTATTGCTGGGATGGTTCCAGAGCAAAATGTAACTCTAGGATGTAGTTTGTTGGCTGTTCCTAACTTTTGGATGAAATCCAAACGCTTCAGTTTGTTCTTTAAGGTCTTCACCATGAGCCTAATATATTTTTAACAGCTTCACCTCAATATTTGTTCTCTGTAGTAACTAGTTTTTGTGCTACTTGTTATTAGCACTTTCCACAAATGCTTACTACTGCTATAGCTAGACTGAAATTGTTTCTAGGGCACGGTTTGGTCTTGTGTTTAGATGTTGTAGAATATTTTTTTTAAAGGAATACTTGTTTTCGATCTTAATTTCACCCAGGATTTCATGACAGCTTCTTTCTTTATGAAGCCCTGAAGCTGTCATAAATTTTATGCCTTCTATTGACTTTAGCATTTTTAAAAAAATTTTTTTTTTTTTTACTTTAGTATTTCTTATTTGGATATCTGTTAAATGGTGTGTTGTGGTTTTAATTGTTGAAACAATACTTATGCATGGAAGATTTTTCTTTCTTTTTAAACTAAGTCTCTTATGGTTCCTTCGTGGCACAGTGTTTGCTCTCAAGTACTAGCTAAAAGGTTCACAACTTGAACTCACCCAGCAGCACTGTGGAAGACAGACCTGGGGATCTTATTCCAAGAATATAGCCAGTAAAACCCAATGGCATGCAATTGTATTCTGTAACACATGAGGTCTTTCCTCTGTCAGCATTGACTTCAACCACAATGGGTTTGTTGGTTTGACATATTGGAGGGTGGAGTTGGGGGGAAGGATTTTGGTTTCTGGGGGGTTCCTGGTTTTACTTACTCCCATCCAAAGAGGAATTTTCTTGCTTATTTTCTATGACCTTTTTGGTATAGTCTAGTAAATCTTTTTATTGTTGTTAAGTGCTGTCGAGTCACAGGCGACTCATAGCGACCCTATTTTTATTAGATTTGGCTTATATTTTATTTGATTTACAGGGCAACAAGAAACTGATAAAGAATCAGCTTCATTTGATGAGGTAACAAAACAATTGGAAAAACAAGCATTGGAAGAGAAAGAAAGAGATGATGATGATGAAGGTAAATGGTTAATTTGATCTCTGTCGTTTCAAAAGCTAATGTAATGAAACAATCTACTTATTTGTTTATAGAATCTGTTCTTTGATGTTTAACTGATAAAACCTCAATTAATGCCATTGGGGGGAAAATATTTGCAGCTCATTTAAAAGTTGAGTTGACTGAGTTCACACTTTCTTCTGTGGGGGGAAAAGAGGTATGTTGAATGAACAATGTATATGAACTTGATGAACTTTTTATGTAAACCAATATAAAATAATTTTATTTTAAAAAAGAACATAGAAACAACCCAGATGTCCAATCATTTAATAGAATGGATTGAGAAAATATGGTACATTTACACAATGGAATACAACGCAGCATACAAGAACAATGATTTTGTATATTACTACCTAACTTGGGAGGGCCTGGAGAACATTATGCTGGTGAGCTAATGCAGTCCCTTAAGGATAAATACTGTATGAAGCCAATATTGTTGAATGAGTATGAAGATTCAAGGGGGAAGGGTAGAAGCAGAGAAGTGAGAATGAGCAGGAGTGAGGTGTGTTCATCGTCGTCGTTGTTGTTATGAGCCGTTTGCAACTCATAGCGACCCTATGTACAACAACCCTAAACCCTGCTCTGTCTTGTGCCAATCTCACTGCCTCTGACACACCCATCCTGATTACCCCAGTCACTGAATCATTCCACCTCATAGAGGGTCTTCCCTTCTTGCACTATCCCTCCACCCTCCCAAGC